TTTCACCTTCTAAGTAAGGTACCTCTAGGTGCGGGATTATTTGGGATTATTTTGCATAGTGACTGTTGGCGCTTCTTTGAAGATAGAGACGGGTTTAATTTTTTTTTTTTGCTTGTGAAATGTTACATTCTTAAAAAGTACTTTAAACTGTATAAATACAATTGAAAGTGATTGACCAATCAGAAGAAAGTTATCCTATATCCACCATGCGGAATTTTGAGGATCATTGCTTTTTTTAGTATACACTTCCGAATTTTTTTAATGCCGTGTTATCAACTTTATTTAATCTTTTTCTCTGATCAGTTTGTATGTTCCGTTCTTGTTGTTGTTTTGTTAGTAAAAACAGTTTAACACTAATCGTTTAACAAATTAGAAAAACATTGTATTTTAAAAATATGTCGAGTGAAACTATATCTATAGAAAAAAATAGAAAATGGGTAAATATCGTTTAAATAGTTGTTTATTTTTATTTAATATGCTTATTTGAGTTTGGTAGATATTCTGAGTTACATGAACAGATAATTATTTTTTTTTTAAAAAAAAAGAAAAACTGATAATATTATGTTAAGAAACTAAAATTTAAACAATTAAGGTTAATAAGTTTTTTTATTTTTTCATAAGAATGATGATCCAAGAAAAATCGTTGATCAAAAGGAACCGACTAGACAACCTATTCGATTACCATCAAAGCCTTATTGGGTAGATAAAATCCCTGACGAAGAAAAAGGCGTAAGTGAATAATTACGATATTTAAACTTTTGTTTCAATCAATACTTAGTAAATCGAACATTCTTATTTTAGGATAATACCCATTCATGGCCAGTTCCGAACCAAAAATTGGATAATTTAGATAGTTCCTCCAGTGCCTCTAAATGTGATTCCGATGGTTTCGATTGGTCGCGTGTTTCAACAAACCATGATTGTAACAATGTATGTTTAGATTTATTATTTAGAATTTTCAGAGACAAAAATGTCAATAACAATAAAATTACATTTTTTATTAATATAACGAATAAAGAAACACGTGCATTTTGACAGCAGTATCAACGTAACTGATAGAATCCCCAAAATTGGCTCCAGCATGCACCGTTCATCATTTTCACAAAACTACAGAGACACAAATTTAGTAAACAATTATTTGACACCTCCATTCACTTACAAGGCAGATTTTCGTTACGCTGATCATTATCCAAGAATCAGTCGTCCACGTTCATTCTATCCCAGTAAAAATATGCTTGGGAGTACACGAATCAGACATAAAATTAGCTACCCTTATGACAAAACATTGACACCATCTTCACCCAGACATTTTCAAATCAATAATCAAACCAGTACAAACTCTTCCAGTTCACCTCCTTCTTCATCGACAATAACAGACATAAAACATAATCTTGATAATGGTTGTAAATCAGCCGCAAATACTTTAACAAAATTTATACAAGCCATTGGATCATTAATTATAGAAGCCACTAAAAATTTTCTTGGGGCACCTATAGTAATTCAATATTTTGCTGACGGTACGGATCCAATTTTTTATCAGGGAGCCGCTGCTTCTGATGCCAAAAAAATTGGATACTCTCAGAGTGGGTTTTATATGTTACGTGATTTTCATCAAGAAGTCGAGGAATATCTTAAAAAAGAGTTCCCTACCTCTCAAGTTGAAAGCAATGGCAATGATAAGAAGTGGACCGTTTCTATCAGTAATTTTATTGATGCGAAACAAGTCCGTAAACATCTCAGCCTGAAAGAAAAGAATAATTAGAGAAAAAAAATGTGTACATCATTTTAGAGTGCAGTAATAGTCAATTATACATTGCTGAAAACATAAAGTGCTTGATTTTATTTCAAGATTTGTGGCATATAGTTTTTGTTATATAATTTGCATTGCATTCTTATAATGCAAGTATTTGACGCGTTGCTGTAAGTTTATGATTTGGGATAATTGTGTTACTTAAATCGACGCCCACGTTAAAATTAAATGTAACTATATAAGCTTATATGCCCAAATCCAAACTCGAATTATATATAGAAATGTTAATTCCGTTACGTATTCGCATCTGTATGCATTATAATTTGTTATAATTATGTATACATATCTACAAAGGGTAATATGTTCAAAGCTTTTAATCCACATAATATCTATAGGTAATGTATAGACAACCAGTAGATGGAAAAATTAGCTAACAAGGTTTATAACAAGTTAATGGAGCATTTGAAATTATAAGCATAAGCATATAGATATGAATATTGCATTATCGTTACGTATTTATTAAGCATAATAAAAGAATCAAATCTAGTTATATTCTCACATAATTACATATATTTACAAATCTCGCAAATTGTATATTGTTTTTCTATTAATTAGGGATGGATCGGTTTTAGTCCAGTCTGTCCCGGCCCTAATAAAAAGGATTCATTACTGTATAGCACTGCTTATAGTACCCGGAGTCTTATTCAATAAAATTACAAATTATTCGTACGTACAGTACATAACTTTTACATTAATTAATGCAGTGGCACATGATTATTGATCTGCATTACAAAAATTTTGCCAGCATTATTAGACTTTCTGTGCCAGCTCTATAAAAGTTCTGGACAACGTTATTTACATAACTGATAACAAAAATTACATATCAGAAATTTACACGCAAATTTACACCCTATATATCCCTATATCCCTATATATAAAAGACATATGCATTATATGAGTGTCGCTAAAAGAAAACCCGAAATTTAAATATAAGTCATATTTAAAATACTCATATGTGATACTTTTCTACGATAATTTTAACATTATAAATGTCGGGTCAATATTACTAAATTTCGTTTAAATACTTGCCCAACATGTTTAGTGCTGTAGTGTGTTTAGTCTGTGCGAAACATATATATTTCAAATTACAATGAAATCTATCGCTATATGTATATAACGTAACATGAATTGTAATTTATCGTTATGTATCGATCATGCCGAAATCAACAACTTAACCGGATCGGCTAAAAAACCATTCGGAAAATTTTTATCAGGTGTTTCAGGAATTATGAAAACAGCTGTAAAGCATAACGATAATAACCTTTTTCAAATGCTTGAATTCAAAATTGTTGGGGTGGCTTTTATTTGGGGTGGCTTTTATTTGGGGTGGCTTTTATTTGGGGTGGCTTTTATTTGGGGTGGCTTTTATTTGGGGTGGCTTTTATTCGGTAACATACAGTATTGTTACACCCGAAACTACCTCTTAGAATTTCGGTATAACGGTTTACTATAGCAACGGATATATTAGAGGATTGATATCGAATGCCGATTAATGCTAAGTAAAGTGTAGGGTTAGTTGCGGTTACGCTTTAAGAGGATTAAGTGATTTGCAGTTACGAAAGAGGCAAACGGCTAAATGTATATGAAGATACAAGTAGTCGTATAAACAAGTTTATTATTATACTCAAGTTTCGTGCTATAACAGGGTTATGGTTTATTCGAGCAATCCGTGTATGAAGACACGATTACTCTTCATTTATTGTTGAGTTGTTGTTGGAACTTCAAGTTCTGTCTTTTTACAAGAGAAATTTCTAAGTCTACTTATACCTTTTGAACTTTCGATTTCTGTTCCTATTTTTATAAATTACAATTTCGCTAGAACCACTAGATCTCTAGAAGCTGTTAGCGCTATTAGCGTTACTATCGCTACTAGCGCTATTGTAGTTCCCTTGCATTGGTGTTACATTGTGGTTAATTTGTCACATGATGCTAATTACAGGGGTTAACAGTACCTAAGAATACCGAGGACCAAACGTGAGACCGATTAAAAAGACTGGTCCTTATTCAGTCTTTTCGGGACCGGTCCAATACTACTATTAATCCTAATTATATATGCAGTAAATTTATATTCTTTTTTTTTTTTATTTTACTTAGTTTTAATACTAACTTTTATACAGTATATATTTTTGTTAGAATAAAGAGATTACAGAAGTTTAATATGTGTTGGCAATGGAGTTTAATAGAGCCTAATGGAGCCAATGGAGCTCTGAATGGAGCCAATGGATACTAGTTTTTTGAGTTCCATTCGCACAACCATTGAGCTCTATTGGGTCTATTGTCAATTCTGGATATAGATAACTAACATTGTATATATAATATAGGGATATAAAGCATTTATTATAAAAACTATGCTATATTATATAATTTTTTATAATTTTTTAATCTGCTTATGGGCTAAAAAGGAAGTCAAATTGAGATAGGCACTTATAGTACAAGGGTGGTCAAATAATGTTAATTATATAAATCAGCGTATGTTGGCATAAGCAATAGATATCTGTAATTCAATTTTGAAGTTTATAAATTAATATTATAGAAGTTAAAAATTTTAAATAGTTTATAGTAATATAAATTTTTCAAATTTTTGGGTGTATTTTTTTAGCTTCTTTTTAATAATTACTTAGAATCTAGAGTCAGTTTTGATGTATAAACAGATTTTAATAAGATTTATATTTTCAAATCAAGGTTTTTAATTTTAGCTTTAGCCATGACAATTAATATTATAGTTTTAGTACAAAATTGATTGAGTTATAATTACCAATAGCAAGTTAATATAGTATTATCAGCAAAGTAATTTGCTTAAAAATTTTTTATATTTTAATTTTTATTGTATTTATTTTTATTTTTGCAATTTGATTTTTGAATTTCTTATTTTGCAATTTATAATTTATTTATTATTTTTTTCTAATTGTTTATCTTTTAAAAAAAACTAGTTGTCACCAAAATAATACAGTGACAGTTATAATAGCCAATCACATCATGTAATAGAATCAAAACAAATACTAAAGTTAATTATTATTAAGATCAGAGTTAGAGTTGAGTTTAGGTTAGATAATATATAGCATATAGTAAAATTTTGCAAGAAATTTTTTTAATTAGAATACTAAAGATGGTTTTATAAATGAAATTTTGAGCTATAGTAAATTTTGAAAAATTTCTATAATTTTTTTATTTTTAGATTACACAAATATTACACCTGATCCTGTAGCATAATTAACTAATTGCTACTGTTACCATGTCACTACTAGTAACAAATAGATTCATCCTATCTTTTATATCTAACCTCTCTTTAAAATAATTTTTTTGATTTAGAAAATTACCTTTTGATTAATATTTATCTATTATTATTATAGTATACCTTATAATTTTTAATAAATTTTAATAATTTATCTTTGCTACATATCAAAATAAAATTAAAAATAAAGGATATGATGACTTAATAAAGTAGTTGAAGTGTTATATCTCAAGCAGTCAAGTACAAGTTTAATTTTTACAGATAATCAAAATTAAATTTAGAAAAATGAATTTATAACTATTTTTATAGCTGAAAAAACTTGAGACCCTATAACTATAGTTATATCAAGTAATAGTTATATCAAATTAAAAAAAATTTGAAGTATTTGTATAATAAAAAGTTATATAAAAGTATGCAAACCAGTTTAATAGATGCAAACCAGTTTAGTAGATGCAAACCCAAGGTAAGTTCTTAGGATCACAAAAAATTATAGCATCGATACAGTAGTGGAGTGCTTACTTAGCAAGTCTTAAGTAAAGAAATAATACAAACTTCAATAATGCTACTAGAATAGATTATATCTGAAATTAGTATAACTAAATAAAGATTAGATATTTAGCAAGATACTTTACTAATCAGGTTGCTAAAGTATTAAACAGAGAAAAAGAATTAGCAGATATTAAGAAACTAATATCTCTTTCAGTCTATCTGAATTGGTAGTTTGAGAAAACTAATTAGAAGTACTAAAAGTAAAAGATATTAGGTAAATTTAAAAGGAAGTATTAAGGTTTAGTTAAACTCTACAAAAGCAAAATTAGATAATAGAATAAAAATAAAAAGTTACAAGTACTTGTTTTTGAACTTAATATAAGTTACTGAAGCCTAGGTTAACCAATTATAAATACAGAAGGCTCTAGTAAGTTTATTTTAAAGATAAAGCAGTATCTAAAAATAAAGGAGTACTAATATTCTTACTTAGTTAAAAGAGTAATATATATAGATAAGTATAGAGAAAACTCATATTTAATAGATTTTGAAATTATTATTATATTTTTTAATTTTAAAGTAAGGTCTTGCTCATATCTTTATTAATAATTTTTAGAATAATAACAGTATAAATTATAAAATTTGTAAAGCTACTACTATTTATATCAGTATAAATAAAAATAAAAATTATATACAAGAATAAAAGCTTAGACAGTAAAAGATTTATCTGTGATCTAAATCTACTAGAGTGATCAAGAATTCAGCTAGATTACTATAGTTAGTATATAATTTAAAAAGATACTGTATTTGGCTTAATATATAGACCAATTATTAATTTTTTTTTGGCTTAACCAGCCAGTAGCTAGACTCCTGTATATAAATATAGTTAATCTAATAGTTCATATAAGCAAGAATATGTATAAGTTCTTTATATACAATTAGTATTTTTGGATTGCTGATTTGAATTTGAATATCAAGATCTAAGTTATCGAAATATTAAGTAATATTAGAGTTATTAGAGTATGGTAGACTAGATATTGTTATTTTTTTTAGTTTGTGAAGTTAGTACAGTATGGTTTCTATATTTGGTTATATAGTTATTCATTAATTTTATATAGTAAGTTAATTATAGTATTAAATGCTATTTTATAGAGTATATTATAATTTTAAATAGTTTGGACTAAAGATTAAGGAATCAAACTCTTAAAAATAGATTTTATATAGTATGAATAGGGTTGGAAAGATATATTATAGAATGCTTCATATTGATAAATTTTTTAAATTAAATCTTCTAGTTCATTATTAGATATATTAAGTTTAGCAGAATAAAGATAATCTGTAAATAATAATGGGTTAATATAGATATGTCAGAATCTTAAAGAACTCTGATACAACTCAGATCTAAGTTTGTATATCAGCCAAATAGGCATATAAAATGAATCAAAAATTAAAAAATTTATTATATAAAAATACAATATTTGATAAATTTCTATACAAAATGTCTTTTTAATAACATTTAATTTATATCAGAGTTCTTTAGAATCATGGTATGCTAGTGTAATTGAGAGTTGAGAAAACTGCAGTGAAAGCAGTTATTACTGTGAAAGGTCTTGAGATATAGTATATAATAAAGTGAATATATGAGAGCTTATTAAGTAATGCTTTAATTTTAAAGACTTGAGTTAGTTGAGTTTAAAGTTTATAAGATTGTATATAGGTTTGTAGTTGTAGTTGAAGTAAAGCCAAGTGGATCTCTAATCTATCTGCTGATTAAGTAAGAACTATTTATTATTTTGTTTTTGAAATAATCATAATGCTAAAATATAAGCTTTACAAATAGTTTTAATAAAATATCTAATAAAGTATTTTACTAAATACAGTTCTTCTTCCTATTGCAAAATATGACATAAGTTGTAAATATTAGTATAATTAAAGTGTAATAGTATTTAGAATATATGTTGTTTGGCAAAAGAATCAGCTAGATTGTTAAAAGTATTATTAGTATGAGTTTGAACTTTATGAAAGGTAATGTATAAATTAAGGAATTTAATTAAGTTAAAGAAAGAGTGCTATAAAGGCCATATATTAAATTTTAAAAGTTTGTTGAGATTGATTATAGTAGAATTAAGCTTAGTGAATTTGGTGATAACAGATTGTGAATTTGTATAGATATTAATAAAAAAGTTGCATGAAGTAGTTGAAATTGCAAATAAGATAGATAGAAGTTTAGCTTTATATGAAGTTAGCCATAAGCGGATTTTAACAGAAAATTTGTAAATTATTTAATTATTATTATTTACTTATACCCAGCCTATGCCTATAGAATACTAGTTGGTATCTATATTAATAACTAATTTATTAATATAGAAGTTAAAAGTGTTTTGTGTAGAATTAGATAGAGAAAATTCAATTAATTTGTTTGTTTTATTACCAGAATGAAAAATTTCAGAAGCAGTAAAGTGGAAAATAGGAATAGATAGAAGTATAGAAAGTAGAACAGAAGGTATAGAGTATTTAACAGCAGTTAAAAAAATAAAGTTCATATAATTGGCATTAAATTTAAAAGAGTTAGAAGAGGTTTTACCAAAAATTATATAGATATAATAGCAGATATGTTAATTATACAGGTTGAGTTTATTCTGTTTGAGTTGAGATAACAGCCAGAGTATAAACTACAATTAATAGATAGGAGTGGATAGTATTTTGTATTATTGGTATTGATATTAGTTTACTAATAGATAATAAAAATTTTGTTAGAGTCTAAAAGATGTGTTTAAATTTTGCTTATAATAATTTTATTAATATTAAAAAAAATAGTTATGGTTTAGAGCTCTTAGAGATATTGTAAATATTATAAACAAAGATATTAACACTATGTTGTTGATACTGTATATATAAAAAATATTAGTATTTGTTTTTTTTTTTTTTTTTTTCAGTGTTTAAGGTGAGGTCATGCCTCTTGTATCTTTATTAATTCTTAAGTTTGTATACTACTATACAACCTTGTTGCTCACTTATGCACTTACTAACCAAACTAATTTTCGAATACGGGGCTCAAACTACTTTATCTGTGACCTAAACCTATCAGAGTATTCTGTATCCCACCTCCGTATTACCTAGTTTTTGTGCTTCACAACTAACTAATTCTAGTTACACAATCATATTCCCCTATGATCCACAATCAAACCTCAGTGACTCCCAATTTGGTTCATTCGAGTAATCAGTTCCTAAAGGCCTCCCAAATTGGTGTGTCTGCCGAGAGCCTTTCGTGCACATATCTCAAGCCAGATCTCTGCTGCCTAGTTAGGTTCACCACATGACAAAGTTGGTACTACCTGACGGATTAGGACTTATCTTGGGTTTGCACTGACTGAGTTACACCGGTTTGCATTCTTTCATTTCTATAAATGCCTAATCCTTCCACTCATTTGCCCAGGTACTACTAACCCGTATCTCAAGCCAGAGACCTGCTGCTGCCACCGGTTTGCCATCCACAGGTCTTTTATCATCCCTTTTTTGGTCTTTCATGTGCTTGCATACTTTTCTATCCCCTTTGTACTCCCTTTTATGGTATTCGTTAGGAACTTGTTTTGTATATAGTAACCGATATACTTCTAGCCATTGGCCTTTGCTGTACATATTGTACTACTTCCAACTTGGGATATCTCAATCCTGGTTGGTGCAGCATTCATACTAGTAAATCCTTAACTCT